ACAATTTATTTGACGGTCGCCGCACACGGTCAATTAAATTGTGTCAGCAAGTAGACTCGAGCAATTACATAAAAACTGATTTTGATTAACTCTATACAATAATTATTGCGCAAATCGTCGATTTCGCCCATACAGAGTCAATATAATTGTCAATTCCTAGTATTGACAATTAAATTGCCTGATACAATTGGTCGCTTTTAATGACAAGCGGGTTAACCCAGATTTCGGGTTTTTATCAGAATTCTTGACCTACACCAAAAAATGGGCAATGCTCTATCTATAGGAGAAGTTTGGTTTCATTGGTGTGTATATTTTCATTTTGTTATAAAGACAACTCTCCTTGCTTTTTAAGGAAACTGAACAAGGGACAAAAACTTTTCCTTCGATTTTCTCAAAACAAGATGTTTCGGGATAGCCTCCTTGTGCTTAAAAGCTACCAATTGACCGTGTATGAGCCGCTTAAGTGACACACGGAGACAGTACATTACTCGAATTTCAGTGTGACCTTCCTCTGGTGTCAAAACAACACAACAGCGAGAACAAAAACACCCATACAAAAAAAGGACAAAAAACCCCCAAAACAACGAACAGCCCTTTCTCCTCCTCCCTCCCATTTACTCTTCATTTGTAGCTCTACGTTTTGGGGGGTTGCTGTTTTCCTGGTACGTTTAGAACAATTGGATCTTACTCAGTTCTATTCATCATGTTATTCCTATAATATTTTTGCATTACTGCGATCAAATTAGTATAAGGGTAAATGTTTATATCTCCTTGGTGGGTTATGTCATACTCCTCCGATTTTCCTTCCTCCTCTTTTTCCTCCTCCTTTTCCCCTCCTCCTCCTTCTCCTCCTCCTTCTCTCTACCTCCTCCTCCTGCCCTCTTTCTCTTCAGCTTCTGTTATTAACACATAATACAACGTACTTTGTTCCTAATTTCCGAGTTTTGTCTCACAGAAGAAAATCTTTTATAACATGTTATTATGATTCATACTTTCGTATTTTGCATACATCAATTTTGTTTTTACTATTTTGAGAAAAATTGAAACTGTTTATTTGGGTGTCCAGAAAAAAGAATGCAAACAAACAGAGCAAAACAAAACAAAACCCCAACTAAAAAAAGAAAACAAAAAGAAAAAGAGAAAGGGATTGGCCAAGGAAACAATGACACAAACACGTACTGGGCTACTCCACGGTAACTGACGGAACATTTGGACAAAACTTTCTTACAATGATAACACTGTAATTCAACATCAGTCAATTCCTTTCAACTGTAAATGATCAGAACATAATTTGAAAGACATAATAGTAAGAATCATAACAGTATTAAATGCTGTCATTTGAAAAAAAACCCAACCAAATGTACTATATGAACCTTCTGTGACGTATTTAAGCTTCGGTAACTGACGGGACAGAAAAAAAAATACCTCGTTTTTCGGGTCAGGTACCAGTGGGATAGCCCTGCTTCCAATAAATTAACATTCGAAGTGACTATTCCCAGTGACACTGGGCATAGGTACAGAAACTATTCCCAGTGACAACGGAACTCTTCTGCATTAAAAAAAATCTGAAGTCTTAGCACTGTAGACTCTCTTCTCACTTCAGTTCAGTACATGTACTTTTGTTTTCTTCTCTTAGTTAGGGCTTAGACTTGACCGCAGAATAGATCTAGATCTAGAAGAAAGAAGAATCGGGAAGGATTTCTATCTGTCCTGTACTGTGGTCTCCAAAATCCGCATGTACATCTAGATCTACACGTTATTTTAAATTACGACTGAGTAACAAGCAACTATAGAATGATTCTTCCTATTTCTTTTTAAAAATTCTTTCCACTCACACCAGAATCTACTTTATTTTAGTTAGATCTAGAATCTAAGATCTAGAATCTAGAATCTAGATCAAGGTCTAGATCTACATTAGCTGTAGTTTAGTATTTAGTAACCAACCACCATCATGCCCATGTAGCTCAGTGTGGGAACAATAGATAACATTTTAATGGGCCTGTCTGTTCTCAGTGTCACTGGGAATAGTTTTTGGGCCTATTCCCAGTGACACTTGGAATAGTGCTTTCCATTAACAATAACCTGTAACATGCAGATAACTTTAGAAGAGGATGTACGACATTGGCCGATATTTATAGTAACAGCCATCTTGTTTGACGTCCTTGAGGGATTCCCACTTTGTTGTCGTTCATTGTGGCAACACGACTGCAAAGCACAATTGAAGCATTTGTAAAGCCTGTAGTACAGTGGCGTGGTGGTGGAGTGGTTAATGCGCTTGTCTCCAAAAGCAGAAAGTCCAGGTTCGAGCCTCGGTTCGGCCATGGATTTTATTTTCGCCCACCCACCTCTAATGGGTACCTGTCTTCGAGTTGGGAAGTAAAGGGAGGTCAAACAAGATGGTTGTTACTATAAATATCGGCCAATGGCGTACATCTGTCGTTCTAAAGTTATCCGCATGTTTAACCTGTACCCTCAGTGTTCATGAAACTCTGGCCAGCTTGTCGTCGGTCTGCGGTTCCTATGGAGGGGAATGGGCTTCAGCAGAAGAAAAAGCAAGCAATTCCACAACCAATCCCGGAACCATGGTTTGGAATCTGCAAGATGCTGCTGGAAATGGAGGACAGAACGATTATAGTAAGGTTTAGTTGAGTTTTGGTTTAAGTTTCAGTAGCTTCGGCCCTTATAATAATATTATGACCTAATTGTGTTGCGAGGTGCCCTAAAAGTCTTACTAAAACTAAACTAAAATTTCTTGTTAAAGCTTTACGGCATTTGCAATATAAACAGGTTATAAACAAATGACTGCCGACGATTGTAGGTGCTATAGTATAAGATAAAAGGAGGGGAGCGAATGATGGATGTGTGATAGGAAGGAAAGAATAAATGACATTGGAGCCCCCGCCAGCCACCCACAAAAAAGATTTACGGAACACTGGTAGAGAAAATTTATACGTAATAACGTTGAGTTCTTTTTTGGGAGGGTATTTTTTTCATCAGTGTGATTCCTTTTCACCGTTTCATTAGTGCATTAAGGATCGTGAAAGTAAGATAAAATTCTCAACAGTGAGGTCGTTATTTTGAATCTCATCAGAGGCCCTTTGTAATGTCATTTGTAAAGCCACTTTGCACAAATTATTTTTGATTCACCGAGATAGGAATGAAATGGCTACAGACAGCAAAAGATCTTGTCAGTTTGTTAGTGTTTTAGGGTGCGTAATCCACACCCTGCATTGTTTGCTTCCAAGGGACACCGAGAATGTTTTTGAGTGTACTGATGTCTGATTGGTATTGATAGCTGTAAGGGCGCTGTAGAGCGTAGATATCTGCTACATGAAGCAGTTGTTATTATTTGTGAGGCGTGCTGGCAAAAGGAGTTACTTCCCTCTCTCAATCCACGAATGGATATGTCCACCAAAAATAGTCACGCCAGCTTTGCAAATTTTAAACTGATGCCTTTTACTTCTCGTAAAACATGTCTTTTTTTTCATTTCAGGTAATAAATTAATTGTACAAACCCATCTTTTAAGTTTTTACTTCAAACTGTGTCCAAAGGGCTAAAATTCTATAACTCACACATTTTGTCAAAAAACTTCATATTTTTAAAATCATTTCCGGAAAACTTGTACACAAACTTTGTTGTTGCACGCAGAAGGATTGATATACCTTTCTGGAGAAGTTTTGTTTTTAAAAAATCTCGATCTTCCTTCTGGGGCGTTGCATCCGTCTCAGCCCAGGTTAGCATTGTCAAGCAGCGTCAAATACAGTTTCCTAAAGGTTCTAAAATGTGTTGTTGGGAGCGTAAAAACGCCTACATTAAACGTTAATCAAGTAAAAACAAAAATATATTAAACACCCCTTCCCACAAACACATTCACATACACATACAATATATATATATATATATATATAATTAATTAATTACGAATAATTGACCCCACAATAATTGCCTCAAGCTGGACTAGCTTGCAGCTAAATGAATCGCTGTTTGGTTGTCGGTTCCGCACTGACACTGCTCTGAATTTCCGATCTTGAAATATGGCAAAGATGTTGAGATATTAATAGATCTATATACGGGTAGGGTACTGGGGTGGGGGGGGTGGGGGTGGGGGTTCGATGCATGTAAAGTTATTTTCCAAGGCTAACAATAAGCTAAATACATGTCCTTTTGTCTGTACAGGAACCGCCACTAAACATTGATAACTGCAAGGGGGAGAATAACGAAATAAACTCAAACCGAAGAGATAGAGAAAAAAAGGGTGAAAATGACGGAGAAAAAAAGAAGAAACCAGGAAAAGAAAGGCCGAAGGATGGAAAGGGACAGGAAAAGAGGAAAGGAGGTCGCAAAGGTGGAAAAGAGACAGATGATGGCGAGGACACAGATTTCAATGACGACGGTACTGACCAAAGTCTGGCTGGACCCAAGAGAAAAGGAGGCAACGAGAAGAAAACGCAACGTAAGGAGGAGCGAAAGGGAAAGAGGGCGGAAAACAATAGTGGAAAGGGCTCGGCAGATCAACAAGAAATTGGATTTAAAAAAGAAAGCGGCGAAGAGAGTGATAAAGAGAGAAAGAAAACGGATGGGAAGAAGCCTGGGAGGAAAGGGAAGGGTGAAAAGAGAGCCAAAACTCTAGATGGAAATGAAGATGGGAATGCAAACAGCGCTATCGAGCCACTGCTACCACAGCCACCCAAAAAACAAGACCGTCCAAAAGGAAATGATGAGTCGAACCGACGCCGCGATCAGAATATGGGGGACAATGGGGAGGAAGGGAAGAAAGGGGCGAGAAAAGAAGACAGGCGTAAAAAGAAAGGACAAGACTCAGGTGACAATGCAGATGGTAGGAATGCAGTCAATGCTTTACCGCTAAGCCCGGACGCAACCACAGAAGGTGAAGAAGGGCTGCAAACCCAGGATCAGAACAAGAAGAAAGAACGGAAGGAAAAGAAGTCGGAGAGAAAGAAAGAGCGGAAGAACAAAGGTAAAAATCAAGGTGGAGCTAAACGTGCTAAGGAAGAGAACAACATTAGCGAGATACAGTTCTAACAAAGAAACACGTGGAAAAAAGGAAGCAGGATAGGTGAGGATGGAGGTTTTTAAGGAGATGTTTCCTAAATTGATTTTTATCTGAGTTATAAAGCCTGTTGGATAAAAAGTTCTAAAAATTGAGACAAGGTTCATGTAGCGTTGTTTCATTTGAAGCATGACCCCCCCCCCTTTCCCCCCATTTTCAGCGAAAGTGTTGTGAAGGTATCAAGCTGCCATAGGGCTAATAGTAAACACAGTGAGTCTACATACATTATAGTCTGTATCGACTTGGAAAGAGGGAAAAAACCTGTAATATTTTTCGAAAAAAACTGATAACTTAAATAATACGTTGAGGGAAAGCAGTGCTTTCGAAACAGAATAAAACTTTGGGAAATTTGTATAATAAAAAGACTTTGTGTTTGAAGTTATTCTTTATTCCGTCTGTCTGCTTGGTTAATTAATGGGGTTGCCTATTCATTAAAAGTGAAATTTAAACTTTGATAATTCATAATTATCACTATCAACACGAAAACCACTACCAAAGCATGTTTGTTGACAATCTCCTCACATTCAATTCTAATCACAGAGGTATCTAGAACGCCTGAAGACTCTTTCTGAATCTGAAAGTAAACCTGTGTCCTTGTCATTTCTGGTGTGATTAATATTAAAATAAAGTTCTCCATTTGATTTGAGACCCCGGCCTTTCTTCTACTTTTGTTACAGTTTCACGGCACATGTTCAAGAGAATCTACGTCTGTGGTGTGACGGCTAGGCGCTTCGCCTCCACACACAGCGGACCTTAGTTCGATTCCCCAGAGGGGAGAAGTTTAAATGAAGTATATGGTTATTTTGCTGTGCATAATATTAAGGTTTCTTATGTCTCTCCCAGCCCAGGCAGGATTGGCCCCAGCAGGCAGAGTAAAATCCTGGCCTGTAAAGGATCTAGATGGTGTCTGTGGGCGTGTGCAAAATGTATAAAATGTTAAAGAGATCTGGTGACCCAACACGGCCTGACCTAAATTTTTGCATGTATTTTTGTTGCTCTCGCTCTCTCTTTTCGCTGTTTCTCTCTCGTTCTCACTCTGTCTCTATATCTCTTTCGACGTCTCTCTCTCTCTCTCTCTCTCTCTCTCTCTCTCTCTCTCTCTCTCTCTCTCTTTCTCTCTTTCTCTCTCTCTCTATCTCTCTCTCTATCTCTCTCACACGCAATTCTTGATACTTTGTTCTCTTATTTTCTGACTGTCAACAATTATAGCCAAAGGCAGCTTGTTAATATTATATCTGAAAAGCTTTGACTTCAGTACATTATTTCTCTTTAATTCATACTAGGATAAATGGTTAGCTAGAGAATATATCTTAATGTGGTTTCTCTTCAGTATAGAGTGGGTGCTATACATGAAGTTGAAATGGACCTGGACAACAGGCTCATCCGGTTATACCGAGAGCTTTACTGTTTATTTGTCAACACTGTTTCACTGTTTCATACACACACACACACACACACACACACTCACACACACACATACACACAAACACACACACACACACACACACACACACACACACACACACACACACACATACACACACACATTCACCAATGAATGATTTCTCTAGCAGGAGTTAATATTTTAAGCTCAGTCAGTTAAATGTAAGATATTCATAAAACAAAGTCATTCTATTTGCAGAAATTTTAATAAAGATGTAGAGCATGTAAAGTATCAATAACAAATTGAAGAATATAATGTTCCTTTATTTGACTCTATCATTATCCTAAGTTGGACATCTAGATTAATAAATGGAAATTACACAAATTTTGAGCATTTATTACTCAAAGCATGGCGTGGTCAAGACAAGTAAACTGTTAAGATCAAAAGTTTAATCTTTTAACATTCAATTGTTCGGAGGTCGGGTAGGCCTTTTAAAAATTCGGTTGTTTTGTTCGAAGAACAGGTAGCTTTTGAAATTAAAATGCCCAAAGGTCAGGTTAGGCCAAGTAAAAATGAAAAGCAACACACTTTAGAAATAAGTCAAGCTGGAGTAATAAGGCAAACGAAACAAACCTAAAAAAACTTTAAGAAAAAACCCTATCCAGCACGCACACAGTTGTGTCCTTGGGAAAGGCACTTTACACGAATTTTCTTCCCTTCACCCAGATGAAAATGGATGCCCAGCTATAGGCAGTGAAAGATCTCGTCAGTTTGTTAGTGTTTGAGCTCTTAACCAGTTGTTTGCACTGTGTGCTTCCCGGGAAGCTGAGAATGTTTCTGAGTGTTCTGTGGTCTGCTGGGGTAATAATATAGTACAAAGCGCATAGGGCCTGCTTTCGAGTGGGGACAAGCGCTATACAAATGCTATTTATTATTATTATTAGTAGTAGTATTATTAAAAGATTAAAATGCTAAAGAAAAACCCCAACAACAAAACAAGCGTTAATTCAAACAGAGGCAATGATATCAAAACCACTGGATTCGTAACGCTTGTTGATCTTTAAATTAAATGGGAAGTGACTGAGAAACCCACAACGAAAGTTACCCAGCTCTCGTCCTTAGCCTATTTGCTACCTCAGAATTACAAAATTCTATCTGCTCAGTACCTTGTTTTCAGAAATTTGACGTGAAAGATTTTGAGTTTCACGTTATGTCAAGCTTTTTCGAATGACATCCTTTAAATATCTCGACAACGACTCCAAATTTTAATAATCTTACGATTATGACAGAGGAGATAGATCTAGAACATTTGTGTCACGACGCACTGAAATCAGGTGCTCGTCAATTTTTTGGGATGTGGAGTTATTTGTGTCATCTGAAAGCTGATTTATTTGCTTTGTTTCTAAAGAAATAAAAATCCATTTACCTGAATTAGAACTCAAGATATTTGCGATAGAAGGAAGTGAGGTCGTTTGTTTCAATGGTGGAATTTGCGAGAAAATGACCGCCAAAGTTTGGTGACTCCAACAGCTAAAGAGTCTTTGAAAATTGAAATATGACATATTTTGTGCCTTTAATCAATGACTTTAAGTAAAATTCAATGGAAATGTGTTTTTTACGGACATTAAAGAGATAGAGCCAAAAAACTAAAATTCGATAAAAATGTTCAAAGTGGCAGAAAAATGCAAGTTTCTTCACTTTGGTTATTTTGACGAGAGCCTGATTCCACCACGCTGCCTCACATTTGGTTTGTGTCCTCATGGTCTTAGTAACTCAAAACAACTAAAAATGTCAGAGGGAACTTTGTAATACTGAGGTAGTGGTAGCAAGTAAAGAGGTGAAGGGCATGGCAAATCTCTGGATCTTGCCATCTGGACTTCAACAACCCTGCCTTGCCGGCGTGCAAGTCTTGTCTTGTGTCCGTTTACCCTGTGAAAATTGAGAAAAGAAGGTAACATATTCATAACAAGTCGGAAGAGAAAAAGAGAGATATCGATAGATAGATAGATAGATAGATAGAGAGAGAGAGAGGGAGAGAGAGAGAGCGAGAGAGAGAGAGGGAGAGATAGAGAGAGAGAGAGAGAGAGAGGGGGAGAGAGAGATAGAGAGAGAGAGGGAGAGCGAGAGAG